TTCGTCACAGGGCGCGCCTGGGCATGCTGGGATATGTGGTTCTTCGCATCCGGCTTGCATCCGCCGACGCGCCGGAAGTGCGTCATGGTATGCGCCTATAGCTTCCCGGGAGATGTAGTTCTCTTGCCGCTCCCTTCTTCCTGCACCTGCTTGCCTGCGCTTTGCAGCTCAGCGCCACTAGCCACGCGGGACCGTTGAGTTTGCTGTAAAATACACACCGTGTCTCCGAGAGTTAGGAGGAAAAAAACAATGTGAAATACTTTTTAAAATATATTTTTATTGTTGATAGTATTACAGATATCTCACATTCCCCCTCTTTTTCCCCCTCCTCCAGCCCCTCCCCTCTCCCAGGTCTTCACCACCCTATTGCCCGTGTCCATGGGCTGTGCATGTAAGTATATAAGTTCTTTGGTTTATCTCTTCTCGCCCCCCCCCCAACCCCACATCGAGGTATGTCAGTCTGTTCCATGCCTCCCTGCTATGGGAGATGTAGTTCTCTTGCCGCTCCCTTCTTCCTGCACCTGCTTGCCTGCGCTTTGCAGCTCAGCGCCACTAGCCACGCGGGACCGTTGAGTTTGCTGTAAAATACACACCGTGTCTCCGAGAGTTAGGAGGAAAAAAACAATGTGAAATACTTTTTAAAATATATTTTTATTGTTGATAGTATTACAGATATCTCACATTACCCCCTCTTTTTCCCCCTCCTCCAGCCCCTCCCCTCTCCCAGGTCTTCACCACCCTATTGCCCGTGTCCATGGGCTGTGCATGTAAGTATATAAGTTCTTTGGTTTATCTCTTCTCGCCCCCCCCCCCAACCCCACATCGAGGTGTGTCAGTCTGTTCCATGCCTCCTTGCTATGGATCTTCAATGTTAAATACTTTAATGTTTTTATACTGACCCCCACCTTGAAATAGTACTTTGGATGTATTGGGTTAAGTAAAATATATTGAATTGATCTCACCTGTTTCTTTATACTTTTTAAAGAGGTGGTTTCTAGAAAACGTTAAATTGTGTGTGTGGCTGCTATTGTATTTCTCTTAGGAGACACTGGCCTTGAGCAGAGTTTCTCAAAGTGTGTTCCCCAGACCAGCAGCAGCAGTGGCAGCTGGGGCCTTGTCAGCCGTGCAGCGTCTGTTCCGAACCTCCCCTATCCGGCCTCCGCTCTATCTGGCCTCTGCTCGGTTGCAGAGCCACTGACGACACTCAGGCCAGCCTGTGGGCACCCGTAGGAGCGAAGCTGCCCAGGGCCTCCGTGCACACCCTCTCTGTGGGGTGACAAATGTCAGTGCTGCCACTGGGGCCCGACCCAGACCAGGTGACCAACCTTCACTCACTCGTTTCACTCATTCAGAAACCTTGGCTGAGCAGAGATGAGTTGGACACAGGACCCAGGACACAGAGATGAGTTGTCCCCGGGGGCTGGCAGTTTGTGGGGAGCCCTCCCAGCACCTGTCACCCCAGGCATTTACTCTTCACACAGTTGGTACACACGTCCTCAGTTTCCCCAGGCGATCATTCCGACCACGTCCGAATTCAGTTTGTCTAGTGTTTACTCATTGCCGCCATGAGCCAGACCCGCTGCTCACGGAAAGCAGTAATGATCGAGCTGGAGGCCAGGATACGCTCCTGGGAACGCGGGTCTCTCGCTGCTGGAGACAGAAGTGCTGCCTGCAACACAGTCTCAGAGGACAGAGGAGACCCAGGCCGGCAGGGCGAACAAGAGCCAAACCAAGAAGGACAGGAATCCCCCAGCGGGGTGTCAGGGCTCCATCGGTGCCACCACAGAGCAGGTGGGCGGGAAGCCTGCTGGGCCCAGCCCTGCACGTGGTTACCAGGGGGTGCAGGGGACCTCCAGGGGGATGTTGCTGGGAGGGACTTGAACACACAGGCCTGAGTCCAGGAGAGCTGGCCGAGCCCACCCGGCCCTGGCTCCCACCCAGCACCCACCGTCTCTGAGAAGAGCCTGGGCACTGACTCAGCTCCTGGACCCTGGGCAGCCACCAGCCAGGAGGGTTTCCTGACAAAGAGGACTCCAAGTCTGGCCCAGGGGCACCGCCCTGGTTCTCCTTGCGGCCAGCGTCCCACCCGAGAGGGGCCCTGCCCCAATCCTCCAACAGCAGCCGCTAGCAGTTCCTGAAGATGGCCACGAGAGGGCAGGGGCGAGCCGCGTCCTGCTGGGGCAGCGAGGACTGGGGCGGAGCAGGTGACTGAGTAGACAGTGGGTTCCACGCTCCTCTCCAGGGCCCTGCTGGGAGCCTGGGAGCCGGTGTGTGTGCCAAACTCTGAGGACATGGCAGCTTGGTCAGCACCCCGAGGGGAGGTCATGGAACTGGGCAGTGAAGGATGGCCAGGAACCCACCAGGCATCAAGAGCGTGGAGGTGGGGCAGTTTGGGGGTGCATTCCAACAAGAGGAAGCAGCCCCACCACCCCCTTCGGGGGAACCCAGACCCAGAGAGAGGAGGGCAGTGTCTGGTCACTTATCCTGTTCCCAGCAAAAGCCAGCACCAGGCCCACTGCCAGGGCCTGGCCCCCCGTCCTCCCCCCACCTCCCCTCTCGTGGCCCCAGCACCCCTTCCAAGGGTCACCAAATGGGGAGGGTCCTGGGGCAGTGGGCACAGTCTCACAGACCAGGGGGCACCACGCAGCAGGAATTCACTCCCTCCTGGGTCTGCACACAAAGGCCCGAGAGCCAGGTGTCCGCAGGGCTGGGTCCCTGGGAGGCTGGGAGGGAGGGTCTGTCCATGGCCTCTCCCAGCCCCGGGTGTCACCAGGCACCCTCGGTGTCACTCAGCCTGCCCCGTCTCCCCCGTCCTCCCCTCTTCCAGCCATCGGATTGAGGGCCACCCTAATCCAGGTGACCTCACCTTGAGACCCTTAATTAACCACACCTGCAGAGACCTGGTTTCCACATAAAGTCATCGTGTGTTCCCGTGCAGGTGAGTTTGGGGGCCACCCTATCACCCCCTGACTGAGGTCTCGGGCATTTGCTAGTGCGGGGTGTGGGCCTGTGCCCTCAGCAGGCAAGCCTCCCTCCAGCTCCCAACGCTCCTCCGGGCTCCAGGGGAGGTCAGTGCGGCCACGCGTGTGGGGCTGGGCCACAGAGGAGCCAGGCCCCCGGAACCCGGGAAACGAGTGGCCCCAAGGTTAATTAATTATTACATTAAATGCGCCCGCTCCGGCCCCGCAAACAGGAAAGTATTAATCACCCATTTCCTCGGAGTGACAGGTCCATTTCCCTAAATTCCTCCGCTGCTGACTTAACCAAATGATCGTCTTCCGGCTGCTGCCACTTCCCGCCAAGCCACAGCTCATGAATATTCCGGCGTCGCAATCTGCTTTATAAAAGGACAGACTTATTATTTCATTTTTAAGTTTGCTGTCAGGCGTAGGAATTTTCCAGGCCCCCAAATAATGGGACGCGGTGACTGTCCTAGTCGGCCAGACCATTCCCAGGAGAGCCAGCCCTGCCCTGCGGGGCCCGGGTGGGGTGCCAGGCCTTCCTGCCCTGGCCCGTGGGAAACGGAACACTGCTGAGTGGGCAGCCAGTGCGCCCTGCCCAGCCTGGGCGCCTCAGGTTCTGAGCAGGTCCGCCCTGGCTCCTGCTTCTGGGCAGCCCCTCCGTGGGCTGGGCCACAGTCTCACCACCGCAGCACGAGCCCCCCACTTCCTGTACCCCCCGCTGAGCCCACCCCGCCGCCCCTCAACCAGGCTTGAGTTTGGGGTCCTCTTAGTGCCCCCAGATCAGGCCATGGGGACAGGGGTCAGAGCCCTTTATCCTCCATGACAGGCTCATTCTGCACCCCAGCCCCTAATACGGGGCACGTGGGAGAGCAGGCAGCCGCCAAGTTTCTGGTCGTCTTGACTCACTGACTGAATGAATGAATGAATGACTGAATGAATGAATGACTGACTGACTGAATGAATGAATGAATGAATGACTGAATGAATGACTGGATGAATGCATGAATGAATGAATTAATGAATGAAAACGGAGGGAGTGGCACAGGCTCACCTGCGTCGATGTGCATCTGCACAGCGTGGCCAGGGAATCCCGTCGTCCCTCCTCACTCGGTGAAGATGGGATTCGGTGTCCAGGGGCCCACAGTGCCCTCTGCTGGCAGCCGCCGTGTGGCAGCCCAGTGGCCGGCCGGGACTGACCAGTCGCTCTCTGCGGTTGGGCACTTCCGAGCACTCAGCCAGCCTGCCCTCCCCTTCGCCACGGGAGCGAGCGCACCCAGCGTGGGAAGTGCGTGCCCGCCGGTGACCAGGCGACCACGAGGGTCACGTCGCCATCGGTGACCCGGGAGGAAACGGCTGACCCAGGACCAGAGGAGTTTTCCTGCCACGAGGTCCCTACCCTCCGCATGGGGTGGCCATGCGGACAGTCCAGGGGCCGGGCCTCCTGAGGCCGGGATTCGGAGCAGCGTGCTCCCTGCTGAAATGGCATCTGCGCAGCTTGAAGCGAGTTGTCACAGGGACAGCCCCTTTCCGGAGGGTCTCAGGGGGCGGAGCTGGCTCATGCAGGAGGCCTGCCCCCCTCAATGCCAGAGCGCCCCCTCGCTTCCCTGTGATGAGAACAAGGAGCTATCCCGGGAGCCGGGGCCACCCCACCCCAGGTGAGAATGTAAGGGGGTCTCGGACAGGGGAGCACAGGTGGGACCCCCGGCCTCCCCTCCCCGGGCTGCCTCACCTGCGGCCCTGCCTGGGCAGGAATGGGCACCTCTGTGGCCCGGAAGACCCAGTGTCTGTGGGGGAGTGAAGAAGCCCAGAGTTCTATAATTTTGTTAACCAATAAGTTCAATACATTTTTTAAATAAAAGAAGCCCAGAGAGCCCGGCCGGTGTTGCTCAGTGGTTGAGCGTCGACTTATGAACCAGGAAGTCAGGGTTCGATTCTTGGTCAGGGCACGTGCCCGGGTTGTGGGCTCGACCCCCAGCAGGGAGCGTGCAGGAGGCAGCCGGTCCATGATTCTCTCTCATCATCAATGTTTCTCTCTCTTTCCCTCTCCCTTCCCCTCTGAAATCAATAAAAATATATTTATAAAATATAAATATTTTATTTATAAAATAAAAATATATTTTTAA